GTCAGCATCCAGTGGGCAGCAGTTTGCATCTTACGTGGTGGAGTGGGAGTGAGTATCTGACTAGGAAGGAGACACTCAGGGACAGTACGCAAAGGCAAGAATTCTTGTAAGAGCACAGAGGCCTCTGTTGTCTGCCTGTCATAATGTCCTTGACTTGAAGATCTGCTCTGCATTGTCTTGGCATCACACACACACACACACACACCCACACACAGTCTGCCTTCGGCTCCCCTCAATTGTATCTTTCCTCCTCTGTGTGGGGTGAATGCAGAGCTCTGGAGAAAGTGGAGTCTGAGGCTAAGAGCCTATTAAACTATCCAGACATCCCTATTGAATTGACTAAGATGTCTCTACCACCTGGAAATATAGACACAGACTGTCAAGACTTGTCAAAACAAAACCAAGTAGAGTTCAGTTGGGAGAAGCTGGAGTGAATGTCATCAGGCCACTACCTCTCGCCCAGACCCTCAAAATAATCCTTTAAGTAAGTCAAACAGAGTGAGAAGATTTGCATACCCAGCACCTGCTTGGGATGTTATGTTCTGCTGGTTGTGCCCCGTACAGGGGTGACTGGCTTTAGAGTTAAACCCCACCTACCTTCCCTTTGTCAATGCAGCTGAGAAAACTGCTTGGGGCGGCTTCAGCCCACATAAAGATGTTGTCTTTTTTCTCATTGGCCAGAGGGGGTGCTGTTTCCTAATTCCTGATCCAGGAGGAGACCTTTGTAGCGTCAGAACAAAGTCACTGTGTGGGCCAGCAGCCCTGTGGTGTGCAAGTGGCCAGACCCAGTGCATCTTTTAACCTGAACTCCCGAAACAGCTGAGGGTGGCAAAGGCGGGAAGGAGGCGCAGCACCACTTGGCTCCTCTGTAAGGCTCCTCAGGTCTGGAACGTCTCACCTTAGCCTGGAACTTGAGCATCTGTTGATGGTGCCCCCATGTGCTTACTCAGAGGGCCGTAGGTCTGAGGAGGGCTGGGAGGAAGAGCCTGCTCTCTGCCACGGGCCAGGACACAAAACTTGATCCTAGAGGTTCTTTCTGGCTCACATACCCAGCCCTGAGCTGCTCTCAAGACCCCAATTTTCCAGCCAGGGGCCCACCTACTTTCCTAGAATTATCTTGAGTGTGATGGAGGCCAGTCCCTCCTTTAAAATCCATTTAATTTCCCAAGTTGGCAGTCACTCTGTTGGACCCCAACAAGGCCTGATCACCCAGCTAACTCCACCAATGAGTTAAGTTAGGATGGGTCCAGGCTTCCAAGCTCAAACTTCTAAGCAGCTTTGTTCATTCAGCAAGATTTACTGAGCACCTACTCTATGCCAGGTACTGGTGGGTAGAGCACTGAACCAGTCATACATGGCCTCTACCTTCAACAAGCTCTCACCCAGATGCAGAGGCAGGTGGTAAAACAAGCAGTTACCTCAGGGAGTAACAGTACTGTGGCAAACAGAAGCCACTCATTTTTGAATGAGTGAATGAATGAATGAAAGAATAAATGGAAGAAAGAGATTTATGCTATCCTGGCCTGGAGCTCAGAAAGGACTTTCTAGAGGAGGTGATATATAAACTGGAGGGTGAGTAACTTTAGCCATGTGAAGTGAGGAAGAGGAAGGAAATGTTCTAGATTGGGGGGGTGGTGGCATGTGCAAATGGCCTGGGGTTGGGAGAGCAAGCTGTAATGGCGGAACCAAGAGAACTTTATCCAGTCAATTGGCTTAAGGCTGTGGGGGGCCAGGAGGTGTATGGAAGAGATGAGGTGTGTGGAGGATGCAGGGCTGGTTTGTAGAGTGCATTGTCACAAATGTCGAAGAATTTAGATCCATCCAAAGAAATGAGACTTCTGAACAAGCAGGAGAGGATGGTATTTTCAGGCATCAGGATCAACCCAAGGAGAACATTTCATTAGTACCTTTGTCTCTGTTTGCCAGTGATGATAGAAAAGCACGATGTCTTATGGAGTTTTCAATTCAAATCACACAAGTTACATGTGGAGAGTAGTCACAGTCAGGTAGGGACACTCTGAAAGTGGCCCCATGAGCTCAGAGTGTGGGGTTGAGGACGTGAAAAAGGCAAAATCCCCTTCTATATCCACTAGCCCCGAGCAGCCTTCTGCTCAGGACATCCTGGCCCCTGGGGACCTATGGTGCACCAGGGCACATGCTGTGAAATTAGTAGTCAAGGTGGGAACAGCCTAGCCTAGGGGCTAGCCAGCCAGCCAGCCACCAGATAATGGAAGTCATCATACTCACAGGCCTATTCACTCGAGTTATAGTCCAGTCTGGTTCCCTCCAGGACGGCTTGCCTCATTCACTCGTGATATACTGGCTACGAAACATTCACCATCTCTGAGGCAAAGCTTCCATGAGCCCATCCCCAGATCAAGCCCCAGCCTGAGATCCCAGGTCCCAGGGTCCAACTGTCTGGCATGATGCTTCCTCATTCTCCTGACAGAGGCGAAGGAAATGCACATGTTGCCACTGAACTCCCAGAGGTGGGAAAAATATGGCATCCAACCTGCAAACGGGAAGACCAAAAGGAGCTGAACGGGACAAAGGGCCTTTACCTTAATTTTTAAAGAAGTCTCACTCTAGAAAACCCCACTTGGGCAACCTCATTTTGATGTCCCTTGTCCCACAGCAAAGCTAGGCAGATTGCCAAGCAGAAACAGTGGTAACTGTGCTGGGTGGAACCTGGTAAAGCTGGATCGTCACCTTGTCTGTGCGCAGAGCCTCCTGGGAGAATCCACAATGGAAATCCCGCCTCCCCAGCTCCAGGAACTGACGTCCTGAGCTGGTGGCGTCGTCTCGGTCATTCTCACAGTTGTGGTGTTTCTGTATCTCCCCCTCATGAACGATTGCTGAGAAGACAGAAAAAATTCTTTAAGAAAGCCCAAAAGGCCCCGTTCTTTAGGCCCAAGGAGCACAGGAGAAAGTGGGCTGGGGGAAGCAGGCTTTTGATGGTGAGACCGCACTAACGTTTGTAGGGCCTGGGACAAGCGTCTAAGAGAGCCACATACTATAACTATAAATGTTTATAAATCAAGCCAGCAAACTTTAGATGACATACGTCCCCTTATCTTGGCAAACATACTTTTGAAATGATCTGGAAAGTCAGATTTGGATTTAGGATCTCAGACCCCTTGAATGCCAGGCCGCAACATGGCAGTGTGGGGAGAATCTGCCCTGGAGCCCTGGCCCCTCCCTTTCTCCCCTGCCCCACATCCTGCACTCTCCAACATGGTGATGGACCTCCCTCCCACACGTGCACGTGGACACCTCAGCCTGAACATCCAAGTTCTGTTCACATGGCCATGCTTGGACCTAGGGATGTGCACACTTGAAGCTTGGTCTACCTCTGGGAGAACAGATCCGAGGATGAGCCTGGAAGCGGGCTCAGGGGCCATTTGAATAGAATGATGGGATTTCAGGTACCCAGAGAGTAATCTCAGTGCCAGGGGGTGTAGTTTCCAAGTGGTGCCTTCTTAGCCTGACAAATTTCTCACCCCTGGGGATGGTTATCGCTGGAGGACACCCAGCGCAGAGGTCCCTCTTCTGTGGTACTGTTGATGGGGACCAGAACCAAACCCTCTATGCCATCCCAGCCAGAAGACTGGTCTGAATGTTTAAAGAAAACCATCCATTGTGCTTCTAAACCCACTATAGCCTTCCCGAGGGCTGGCTCTCCATCACCTCCTTTGTTCCTTGATCTGTCCTAGATCAGCCCCACACAGGATCCTGGAGACCCCTTCTCATTCCCAGTCACCCCAAAGCCCACCCAGAGCCATTTGTTGGAAGCACACCCTCCCTGTGTCTGTCCTCCCCCCCCATCCCTGGTCTTGACACCTTAAGATAGATGCCAACTCCAGCCGCCATTTGCGTTTTCAGCAAGGGTTTCTTGATCCAACTTGGGCGTGAAGGGACTGACGAGGTTAGCGTTGATGGCTTGAGGTCCCCTGACTGAGGAGACCAACCAGAAGTGATGCTTCACCTGTCAAGAACACTGAAAAAGCAAAAACCAAAGCTCAGGGCCAAGTGTGAGGATGTACAGAAAGGTGTGTGTTTTTTCTTGTCATTTGCGACTCTAATGATGGACTCACCTTGCCCGCTCTTCCCTTTCTCTTACACCTTACCTACCTACTAAAGGAGGAGTTCTTGCTTGGTAAGTGGATATAATCCGCAAAGACATGAGAGAATTTATTAGAAGCCAATCAAGAGTCTTAGCTACCTTCTCCAGGGGGAAAAGGACACACGCAAAAATCTGTAGAGAGCTTTTTTTTCGTTTGTTTTCAGTCAGACAATTTGACTTCCATTTTTTTTGTCCCCCCACCTTTCTTTTCCCCTTTAGTTGAAAACTACTAAAATATTATTTTGTGACCTTGACTTTATATTAAAAAAATAAATAAAAACCTCTCATCTTTATTTCATTTCTTTTCCCCATGTGATATTTGTTCAGGGTTCTATTCAGGCGACTTTTTCTTTAAACAAAGAAAAGTCAAATTCATTGAGGATTTGGTTGATATTTAAAACTTTGGCTTTATCTCCTTTTTTGTTTCATTTTGTTTTTAAGTTCCAAGATATATTTTTTCAGGCCTATAGTCTCCTTTCTTTCCCCCACCCTCTTTGTTTATTTTTGTTATTGTTTTAGATTAAGGGTGTTTACACCCCCCTTTCTCTTAAGTTGTCTCTTTTGTTTGAGTTAATTCATTAGAAATTAAATTTTGTATAATTTCCTTTTTTCTTTTGTTTAATCTGGATCGCATGCTTTTTCTCTGCATGATACCTAAACCTTCCAGTTATCCTAGTAGGGGGTAAAAAAAAAAAAGATCTCCTTTCTGTGGTATTCTTTCAGGAATTTGTGCTTTTGTTTTTTGGCGTCTCTTCTTTCCTCTCCTCTCTCTTTCCTTTCGTTACAGTGCATCATGATGGTAAACATTTCTTGGTTTTTTAGACACAGCCCACAGGCCCGGCGCTCAGCCGGGTCCAATGGGTGTTTTTGCTTTCAGATCACTGGGTCGGGGTCTGCTGTTGACCTCTTGACCAAAACAGCCAGCCCGCTCACCACCTCCCGAGGACGCTCCCAGGAGTACGACTCAGGCAACGACACCTCCTCGCCACCCTCCACGCAAATCGGCTCAGCCAGGTCGCGGGGTCCGGAGAAGGGGAGCCCCAGTGGGGGCCTGAACAAGAGCCAGGACCCCAACAGCGGCAACACCTCGGATTCAGGGAACTCCTTCACCACCTCCTCACCCCAGAACAAGGAGGCCACTTTGGAGAACCTCTCCCCCACCAGCAGGGGCAGAGAGTCAAGGTCAGTGCGCCTGGGCAGGGGAGGGGGTCCCGCCTGGGCGCCACCATGTCCGTCTGGCGCTGTGCGCCACACACGTAGTGTGTTCGTACCGGCCACGGTTTCAGGAAGCTGGTCAAAGGCTTAGCACTGAAGCAGTTGAAAGTTTCTTCCAGGGCACAGCACCTTTGGTCCCCAACACATAGCCCGCTTCAGTCCTGCACAAACAGCTTGGCATCCCCACATGGACCTGACCTTGGGTTTGCCTGTCTCCGGACATCCTTGGCTCAGGTCACACCCAAGCTTGGCTGGGAGCCAGGGCTGGGTCAGAGCAAACATCAGTGTCTCCGGAAACAGGCGGTGATGCTCCCAGATATGTACTGATATATTTCAGAGCAATCTGCAGGAAGTACTGAGAACAGCAACAGCAAAAGCAACAATAATAATAGCAGCTACTATTTACGGAGCCCTGACTAAATGCTCGGTACCATGCCAAATGCTTTCCTTGGATAATCTTCCTGAACTCCTTATAAAGCCTTTACGGGACTAGTACTGTTATGCCTCTTTTTCAGCTAATGGGAAAACTGAGGCTCCACGTAGTTAAGAAACTCAGTTAATGAGACGCCGGCGCACCAGGACTGAAACACAGATCTATCTCCAGAACTGGCGTTAAGCCTGCATGGCATGAGCAGTTCCCTGTTCAATTTGATCTGCGGGGACAGCCAAATTAAATAATTCAGACCCAGCCTTTCACTTTGAAATAGAAATAATCTTTAAATCCATGGCTATTTATGTCCTGTCAGCTATGAGCAGAGGGCGGAATGGAAGAGACAGCAGCTCTAAATCAGGGGGTCCCTAGACAGTGAAGGCAGGGGCTGGCACAGTAGCAGGGACACGGGCTTCGGAGCTGGACAGATGGGAGTTTGAGACTCTGGGTGGCCTTGCGCAGGTAGCTAGCCCTTCTGAGTCTTCTCTGTAAATAAAGGATATTAAGTGCCAACTTCATAAGGTTGTTGGGAGGATTAAATGAGATGATGCTTGTGAAGCGCCCAGGACACTTAGAGGCTCAACCTGTTTATTCCACAGCTGTTTATGGATGACCTAGGATGTGTGTATCAGGCTCTGTTCTAGGTGCTGGGAAACAGTGTCCAGAGAGACATGAGTCCTGTTCCCAAGGAGTTCAGTGTCTAGGGGAGCAAGAGGCAAAATTATAAAACCAACTGAGCCGTCTAGGGTTGGGAGAGGCTTTGAGGCTGGGGGCTGTGATAACACACTGGAGGTCCCCCAACCAGACTTACCTCCCAGAGGTATGGAGGTGAGTATCAGCTCAAGATGCCCCCAGACCAGCGGGCACCCAGTGCTAACATACGTTCTCCCCCGTTGCAGAGGATTTCAGTCACCATGCCTGGAATGCACTGAGGTGAAGAAGTCCAGTTTGGTCCCATCCACAGCCCGGAGCTCCCCCATGAGAGGGTGCTCCCGCAGCTCCTCCTATGCCAGCAGCCACTCCTCCAGTCACTCCTCCCGATCCCCAAACCCCCGGGCCTCCCCCAGGTACACCAGGAGCCGATCCACATCCTCTGGGAAAAGGTGAGCGCACTTCCCTCCTCAGGGAGCTAGTTAGAGTGACTGAAGATGTCCTTTCGGGACAGACTTCAGTGTGAAGACCCATTCTGTCCATTACTAGCTGGTGGCCTTGTGCATCAGTTAACCTCTCTGAGCCTTATTTCCTCGCCTGCAAAATGAAAACCTGAAAACCGTAACAAAATATTTACCCTGAAGGATTGTTCTGAGGACTATAAAACACTTAGATCAGTTCTTGGAACATAATATCAGTTTTGATTGTTTTTATTGGCATGAGGATGAGCTCATGTGCATCAGTTATCTTCCAGGGCATAAAAATCACCCCCAAACTCAGCATCCTTAACAATAAATAGTTACTTAGTTTCTGATTCTGTGCGCCAGTGCTTTGGGCTGGGCTCAGCAGAGTGGTTCTTCTGAACTCATGCCTGTTTCTTCCATCAGCTGGTGGTTGGTTGGGGGCTGCCTGGTTTGGATGTCCCCGGCTGATTCATTTCTCTCCATGTGGCCTCATGTATTCCAACAGGCTTGTCTGGGCTTATTCACATGGCGATGACAAGGCTCCAGGAGAGAGCAGTAGTATGCAGGGATTCCTAGGATTGGAACAGACGTGACTTCTTCTGCAACTGTCTTAACCAGAGCAAGTCACAAGATCACAACCCAGATAGAAGCAAGGGCTGCTCCTCTTAATGGAAGAAGCTGCAATGTCACATTGCAAGGGGCGTGGATACAGAGAGAAGGATTGTACCCATTTTGCATTTACTCAATTCCAATAACCATTGGTTATTGCTTGATTTTCTCAACTGGAATAATGATATAGCAGAATGCAGAGATGTGAGATCTCAGAAATTGGAAGATTCCATCCAATCTAATCAGCTCATGGCTTCATGGAGTCCAGCTTCCCTCTATAAACAGGAATTTTCCAACAGCACCCTGGCTGTTCCTCTTTTGCAACCATGCAATCGAAAAAGAGTTGCTTACTTAGGTGATTACTTCAAAGCCAGTTCATTTCAAATAAGGAGGCAAGGAAGCTGCCAGAAATATTCAACATGGTAGACGTATAAATTGAAGAGCAAATTAAGTTAACAGGGAAAAATAAGAGAGAAATAAAATTAAATCAGGAGGAAGGTTAAGTGCCAGAGGCCTGTCCTACCATTCTGTACAACCTTCTGTATCTGTGGGTTTTACATCCCTGGTTATGAAAGGCCAATATGTTCATTATACTGTACCATTATATATAAGGCCTTGAGCATCTGCAGATTTTGGTATCCTCAGGGGCTCCTGGAACCAATCCCCCATAGAAACCAAGGGAGGACTAGAGTTGCTCTGGAGGTGGGCTGCAAATGTGACTCAGAGCTCCCCGGAAGACAAAGCAAAAAGGGAGATTGCCCCATTACATTGTTAAAAAAAAAGAGAAGATTGGAACCAGTTGCTTGGAAGAGCAGTTATTTCTGATTTTAAGTGTGGAAAATGCCTCATATGGCTCCACAGAAAAGGGACACTATGTGGTGTAGGGGATAAACATGTCTGATATCCTTTCAACGTGTCCAAAAATATGTTTCATCTTGACTCTTTTTGTAACGTCTCTCAATGTATAGCCAAAGAGCAGGTTGGCAAAAGCAAATTTTCCAGGGGCCATAGCCACTGTCCCAGGGCACTAAGATTGGAGGAGCTGCTCCTTGTCCAGACTCTCTTCATCCCCCTGGGCAGCATGTAAGAACAGAGTCCCAGGGCAGTGTTTAATGGGCATAGTTATTATGATCACCTAAGAAAGCAGGAGAAGACTCAGGAACACCTAGGTGAGGGCAGTTGATAGCAAGAATCTTTTCAAATTGAAAGGAGTAGATAGGAAAATTTTGCTAGTGTTCCTGGGAGGGAAAGCTGACAAAAACAGAGCATGAGAGAGTGTCCCTCCTGCTCATTCTTGTGCCCATAGCAGACATTGCTAATCCATCACAGCCCTCTTTCCCACTGAGCACGTGGCCATGTAATCCCTCCCAGTCCTGGCAGTAACTACTACCCGATCAAATAGCATAGGTGAGATGAAACTATTGGAGAAAGAAGGGTAGACACTCCTGGGAAACTGGTAGAGAAACCAAGGGAGTAGCTTTCTAAAAGTGGGAGGCATTAGCAGAGAGGGAAGAAGACTGCAATAGTAATTCGGATACACAACAACATAGTCTAGCAGACATCAGGAGCACTTTGTAGCCAAACAGACCTGGGTTCAAATCCCTTACCAGCTGAGTGACCTTGAACAAATTACATCACCTTTCTGTGCCTCTGTTTCCCATGTATAGAATGGGATTGATAACAGTACCTAATCCTAGGATCTGCTGAGGATTAAAGGAGGTAATACACACAAAACATTAGTTCAAAGTCTGGCACATAGTAAATATCTAACAATCATAGCTAACATTTCCTGTGTGCTGGCTCTATGCCAAGATGCTAAATGATTTACCCTAGTTTACTGACTTAGTTTACAATTCTATAGGGTAAGTATCATTACGCCCATTTTACAGATCAGAAAACAGAGGCACAGAGACATCACCTGCCCAAGGTCACACAGCCCATGAGTGGGCAGTTTGGTAAGAACTCAACAGGAGGAAGCTGTCGTATTATTATTAACCATCCAAAAGGGAGGGGATTTCATTCTCAGGTAAGGGCTTGGTTCCTGTGCCTGGCCTCCAGAAATAAAAAGGCCTGGGGACCGGTTGAATACAACGCTAGACAGACAGGACGACCCGGGCGGAGCTCAGCAGGCTCGGCAGAGGCTGTCTCCCCTCCTCCAGGTCCTCCTCGCGCTCTCCTAGCTACTCCTCCAAGTCTGGCAAGAGGAGCCCGCCTGGCAGAAGCTCTCGATCCCGCCGCAGCCCCAGCTACTCCCGCTACAGCCCCAGCAGGTACCGCCCCGCCCCCCGGGACTGACCCCGCCCCTCGGGCTGGGCTCCGCCTCGCCGACTCGCCTCTCTGGAACGTTTCCCAAGCCCCGCCCTTTCCTCGCAAGTCAAGCCCTGCCGCTTACGGTTGCGGATGGGGAGATGATTAAGGAACCCTAGTGGTTCCCTTTGTCCTATTGGGAATGGCAGTGAGGCCCGAACCACATCTTTTGAGTCCCAGCCACTCGTCAGAATTCACATCCCCAGCTCTGCGCCTCTTCACACACCCAAAACGACCCCTCATCCCTGTGTTCTGATTCTTACTCTGCACCTGGGCCCACCTAACTTTCTCATCCTCACCCCTGCAATACCCACCTTCAAAGGCCGACGCCCTTACACATGCCCAGCCGCACCCCCTCACCTCAGCCCCATGCAGACCGCATCCCCTGCTACAGACGGGTGGAGGGTACAGGTAAGGAGGAAGTGAGTGCTCCTCTCCCACTCGCTCACACGGAAAAGCCAGCCCGCACCAGCTCCCTAGTAACGCCCCCTCACCGCACCCCTTCAGGGAGCGGGACCCCAAGTACAGCGAGAAGGACTCGCAGCAGCGGGAGCGCGAGCGAGCTCGTCGGAGACGCCGGTCCTACTCGCCCATGCGGAAGCGCCGGAGAGACTCCCCGAGCCACCTGGAGGCGCGGAGGATAACGAGGTGAGGCCAGGTGGGCCGGGTACCCGTCTCCACCTCCACTCCCACCCTCTTCCCACACGTTCTGGCCTCAAGCTCTACCCAGGCCTCCTTAGGGCTGGATTTCAGGATTGTGGAAACTCAGGGACCTCCCCAACCATTGAAAAGAGGTTTCTGTTTGAAGCCTCTGGCTGAATGAGCACCCCCAAACACGCTGGCAGCCTGGGAGAAGCGGGCATGGCCCAGGACGGGGTGGGGCGGGGCTAGAGTGGGATTGCGGCGTGGGGGGTGGGGCCAGCCTGAGGAATCCGGAGTGGCGGGAAAGGTGTGGCCCGAAAATGGATGCGGCTGGGGCCAGGGAGGCAGAGCTGGGCCATAGACTGAGGTCTGGCCTGGAAGCGGGGGCCAAAGCAAGGAATAGAACCGGACTTTGCCTCTTGGTGGAGCCAGGCAATGGCGACAGACCTCCACCCTTAGACCCACACGCCCAGATGCAAGGCTTAAGTAGACCCATGTGTAATTATACCGAGAACCAAGTGTAAACGGGCAAACAGCATTGTTCAGGTGCCAGAAGGACTTGGAAGGAGGCCTGGTGGGTAAGGGAGAACGCATGACGTGGAGTGGAGTCCTGGCTGTGGCGCTTTCCAGGTGAGCTGGGGAAGTCTCTTCACCTCCCAGAATCTCAGTTTCCTCACCCATGAACTATTGGAGGAAATAACTCCCAGGAGTATCACAAGGACGAAATGAAAGGGGACAGAGAGATGTGAATGCACCAGAACCCACTGTGTGCCATCGTGAGGGACTGAATGGTCATGCTAGGTGGAAAAGGTGTCTGTCACGGGTGAGGTCTTAGATGAGAAAAACCCTAAAAGAGAAGCCTAAGGTCTGAGTGGAAACAACTTTCTCAGGCCTTGAAATGGAGAGAATGGCTGAGTGCTGCCCTAAAAATGGCTCTTGACAATCAGTTGGCCTTCCTCCTGGTTCTCCAAGGGTCACTCAGTCCAGAGTCCCACAAAGAAAGGGGGAACCTGGCTGCCCAGTGCCTCCTCCCTGGAGGTGACCAGGAGGAGGAAAAAGACAGTGAGACAGGGTGACGGTGTCATCTGCTCAGATGTCTCACACAATACCCTACATCGGCCTAGCACAGAAGGGAGTCCCTACACCCACTGCCTTAACTTTCAGAGGTGTCCTTGGGGTGAACTTGGAGGAAGGCTGAGATAAAGAGAGTGGCATTTCCAGGAGACTCTGGTTTCCTTACTCAGCCCCCAGTAGTCCATCTGGATGAACCCATTCAGAGTTTCCCAGACTTCAGTCACCCACCACTTTTGCCTCCTCTGCTTATTACGTGTACTATTTACTTGATTTTCTTTAAATAGAAATGCCCCTTTTTACAGGTCCATACATTTATTTCAAAAGGAAACTTGATACACTACAGGAAATGGAAACTCAGCCATTTGCCATACATAGAATATCCTAGTAAAAGTGAAAATAGCAAAACAAAACTATGATTAAAGTTTAGATGTAGATTCTGTTGCCAGCTGGAGGGTCTCTCTGAGCCCAGCCTCGCTGTGTTAAAAAAGGGAGGCTATCACTTAAAACATACCAGCCCTAGACTGAGACCACCTTGATGTTCTCAGGACCACAAGAGAAGTGTTAAGGGGAAATTTTTTTCCTAAGGGGCTGGGAAGTGCCTCTTGGGACGATGCTGGTGCTCCCTGGGTTGAGGCTGGGAGGAATCTTGCCCTCATGCATTCTCCCTCTGGTCTCTGCAGTGCCCGGAAGCGCCCCATCCCCTACTACCGGCCCAGCCCCTCTTCGTCCAGCGGCCTCAGCAGCACCTCCTCCTGGTACAGCAGCAGCAGCAGCCGCTCAGCCAGCCGGAGCTACTCCCGCAGCCGCAGCCGCGGCCGCAGCCGCAGCCGGACCCGCACGAGCAGCAGCTGCAGCTCCCGCAGCCCCAGCCTGGGCTCCCGCAGCCGCAGCCGCAGCCGCAGCCGGAGTCGCAGCGGGAGCTACAGCTCTGCGGACAGCTACTCCAGCACGAGGCGCTAAGCACCGCTCTCCTTTGAGCCAACTGCCTGCAGGGGCCCCTTTCTCTCTGCCAGCCTCCCCTACTCCCTGCCCACCCTGCATTCTCCCTGGTGACAGACATTGAGGGCTCCCGGGCCCCGTCCTTCCTGCGCTCCTGGGGAGGAGAAAAAGAGGATATCAGGGCTTCAGCCTCTATGTCGAGCTGCTGGGAGCCTCCACCGCACCACCCTGGGGTTCAGTTCAGGCCTGAGCTTATGGACAGAACCACCTTCTGCTGGCACAAAAAAACCCTCAAAGGTTTGTAAGAAGCAATGGGCCCATGATTCAAAAGTTTGGGCCTGGCCAGGAAAATGTAGAGAGTTCTTCTAACCCACTGCTCGCGGGAAGCATACAAAGGCCAGTGGTAATTCGTCACATCTGCCCTCATTCTCCCCTCATCCAGTCTCCTGGCTGCACGTGTATGGACCCCCAAGGGGGTAGGGGACGGAGATGAGAGGAGGCCAGGGGCAGCTCTGGCCCAGAAGAGGGGCCCAGGCCTTTCACTTCCCCACTTAGGCCGGAGCAAAAGCTGGACGGCTGTTGGGTCCTAGAGCAGGGGATGTGGACATTTCAGTTGGTGGGAGGTGTCGGGAGATGGGGGATGGACTCTCCAGTCACAGAAGCAGAAAGGAGGGGGGTCAATCTGCTGCTCCAGTGTCTCAGCATCTCCAGGAAGAAGAGCCCAGCAGTTCCTAGCCATGGAGAGGCCGTCACACAACTTACACAAAATGCCTTTTGGCTGTTCACAGGGACCCTGTGACCTCTGAGAAAGGACACAGTGGACGGTTAGGACAGCTTGGTCTGTAGCCCCACTTCCCAAATTTGCCTCGGCCCCATTAGCTGGCACCCACTGAATTCCACGGGACCATCTGCTGCACATTCCCCAGTGCCATGGCCAGCTGCCAGGCCCCAGCGCCAGCCAGTCTGGCCTTACCCTCCGGTTGGCGCCTGCCTGCCCCCTCCCCATGGCCCAGACTGCCACACCCTGGAGCCTACCCAGTGCAGCCGAGCACCCACCCACCCACCCTGAGCCTAAGTCATCCCCTTTGCCTCTCAGGAATTTTGCCAGAATGGGGCACAGCAGCTCAGGTTTAGGGGGAAAGATCCAAATCTAGAGAGTCTGGGGGGAAAGGGGCTTGAATGTTCCGTAGATCCCCACTGGTTCCAGAGTTTCCTAGCAGCCTGGGAAAGCCCCGCCTTCATTTCTGCCTCACCCCACTTCCCACCTCCCCACCCTCCCCAGGGCTGGGCAGTGAGGGTAAGCTGATCTCTAAAACACAAGTACCACCAGCTGCTTCATGCACGGAAGGCACTGAGAACAGGGGCATGAGGGAGAAGATCCTTAAAATAAACTTTTGGGCATCCCCCTCACCAGCTGACTGGCTTTCCGGGGCCTTGCGGGAGAGTTTCAAGTTTGTGGTGGCAACAGCAGCCAGGACAGGGCAGGGAGGGAGAGAGCGAGAGAGGACAGCTCCCAGCTTTGGATCCTGGGGCTTTGGGAAGCAGGGACCAAACATTCTTTATACCTTACACCCCAGGGGGGAAACATATGAAAAAAAAATCCTTTTTCTTGGAAGCAGTGACATTCCCCCTCCCCGGTCTTTCCCATCACATCAGCCCCTGGGACCAGAGGCTGCCCTGCAGCCACCGAGAAAGTTCCTCCTCCATCGGGAGAGCGGAACCAGGTGCCGGCAGCAGTGGAGGACCTGGTCTTTCCATGATGCTCTCTGGCCCAGACCTGGGCCCCACCTCCCCCGCCAAGACTAATGGATGCCAGTGCTGTCGCCGCAGAAGGCCTGATGGCAGGTGCCTGGGACGGGGCCGGTGCCCTGGGAGGGCATGTACAGCAACTGTAAATAACCCTCTTCCCCACCCAGGAACCCAGACTGGAATCTAGTCTCCCTTCGTGGAGACAAAGGCTTTCCGGAGCCATAGAGCCTCCTTTAGCAGGACAGCAGTGAGAGGCCTGAGAGCCTCCCACCCAGACTGCCTTCCTTCGAGCAACTCCAGGGGACCGCTTTGCCTGGCGCTCCTAGCAAACCTCTTATTTATTTTATTTATTTATCTTTATTTATTTATTTATGTAATCTCTCTCTCTTTCTCTCTCTCTCGGTTGCCATTAGCAGTATTCCACTATTTATTTATTTATATGGAGAGTGTGTGCGTATGTGTGTTTGTGTGGTTGGGGAGGAGGGAGGGCTCCCAGATGATTTTTGTGCATCTCTCTTTTGTCTTCCTCACGTCTCTATGGATGGGATTTGAGAGGTTGGATATGGGTGGGGATGTTGGCCCTTTTCCCTAAAGGCGAGACCCACAGGGCTCTAACCCCGGGACGTCCTGGAGGTGGACTGGAAGCACTTCAGTTCGTGACTCAGTCCATATCCAGTGAAGTTCAGGTCTGCATCCCAGCATCTGGCGCACCAGCTACCTGACTGATGTATCAAAAACGTGACGTATCAAAAACGTGCAAACAGTCAAGAGGCTTATGTGCTAAGGTGCCGAACGGACACAGTGGAGTCACAGCTCATGTGGGGGTTGGCGTCTAAAGTTAGCATCTAAGGCAAAAGTTGCAGAAAGGTCTTTAGGGAGGCACAAGATGTGCACATCTTAATCTCACCCTTGTTCCAGGGCATATATTAGTGGGCGAGATCATTTGCTTTTTTGAGCATACCTCATTGGTTTGATGCAAGCTACACATGCTTCTGACTCTCCCTTAGCTAATTTCTCCCTTCTGAGATCTCAAGGCTCTTCTGTGGACACACCTGCCTTGTGACCAGGTATCACTCATCTTGGGAGAGAGACACACAGACCCAAAGCAGAAGGCTTTTGCCGTGATCTCGGGAGAGAGTACATAGCTATTTTGAAATGAGAAAACAAACAAGATGAAAGGAGCAGCCAGAGGTTCTCCCCCCACCACCACCACCAAGAAGGTCATTTCAGAACCTGTGTTGGGAATCAGGATCCTGAAGTCTTCACCAGTCTTGCCTCTCTGACCAACTAGCAGTGTCTTCTGACTGCTGGCTGGCGACGGCTCCTGCCCTTTCCAAAGTCATGATTTACTGCTTTGAAACGGCCAGTTTGCCTGGACCAGCTTTGGGTTTGGTGAGACTTTTGCAACATCCCTGGTTGTTTCCCTGGCAATGTGACTTTACTCTGCCCTCACCCAAGCAGCCCGATCGAGGGAGTGCCTGTAGCCTGGGCAGAGTGTACAAGAGCTTCGGGCCTCCTGGGGGGGATCTCTGTCCCTCCCTGTCACTTGGTGTGTTTCTATAATTTCCATTACATTTCCTTCTTTTTTTTTCCCCCATCCAAAAATAAAACTCTCATTGGGGCACTGGTAACCTTGTTTAACCAGAACCCCCGATCCCTGGCACTACTGTTCCTCTGCCCACTTCCCCCTCATTACACTCCTGCTCCCAAGGAGTGAGACAGATCACCTGAAAAGTGCTCACGGTGAGGACCTGTTTCTAAAACCAGTATGGAAAATGGGAGGGAGATGTGGCTTGAGGTCGAGCAACATGCAGCCCTTCGATCTTCCTGGGTGTTGTCCAGGTGAGTGACACTGGGAAAGTTGCTCCCCTTTTCTGGACCAAAGTCTCCCCCTTTCAGAAGTGGAGGAGTTTTTGAGATACAACCCAGAATGTTAACCCAAGCCCTGGGCAGTTTTTCAAAGACAGAGTGAGTTCACTGAGACTTACGAGGAAAAAGGAAAACATCCGCAGACATTTTTAGAGGTTCTCAATCTTGAGAGTAACATGGAAAAGCAACAACGTGAACTCCAGTTGATTCAGAAAAGCTAATTCAAGCCCCCACCCAGGAACGTTCTTCTTCATCCAGGTTTGACTGCATTCCTAGCTCCCTCTCTCCCCTTCTCCGAAGGGAAGTCAGTCTTTCAGAAGCAAAAGAAAATTAAGCTGTTTAAAAGCCGCGAGGGTCTCAGTCCCAGAGAGCCCCTGTCCCTTCAGGTGTTCAGACCCCTCCTCCTTCCCAAAAGGTTTTGCTTGAAGAGGCTAACGTCTGGGGGGGCTCCCAATGGTTTGAAAGCTCATTTCTTCTTTTCTCAAGTCCCACTTTAATCTTCTCTTCTGCTGTATTCCTTCCCACGACTATTCAAAACAGTTTCACGTGCATGTGTCTCGCCCTGATTTTTTTCTTCTCCAGCTGAATAGAAAATTTTGTTTGATTCAAAACAAAACAGGATTCGTCAAACCACACCCTCTCCTCTGACCAACTGTGTCCAGCTGGGAAATTACAGTCGATAACAGTGTCATCAAGCAATGCTGTATTGCAACCTCTTCCTTTCCCCTTCTGCACCCACGAGCTGGTGACCTTGATGGAGTTGTCATCTACCCTCTGTGGCTGTTGTATTGAGTTAATTTTCTTTCTTTCTTTCTTTCTTTCTTTCTTTCTTTCTTTCTTTCTTTCTTTCTTTCTTTCTTTCTTTCTTTCTTTCTTTCTTTTTTCTTTTTTTTGAGATTTGTTTTGTTTTTTTGGTGGTAGTGGTTTTGCATTGTAAATACCATGATGGGGGGACCCCCTCATCAGAACGTGGCTTGTTTAATAATTTATTTCCTATTTATTGAGTGAAATTGGGAGAGGAGAGGGGACCCCCCCCACCTCTTCCCCTCAATTGCTATTGGAAATGGGTCCATCTCTCTGCTCCGGGTGTGGCTGGCTGCAGTGGGGGCATTTATTGCCCACGTAATGGGTGGTAGAATCACCCAGCAAATTGGAATTGGCAGAAACGGAGGCTTCAGTCATACAAATTAAGTTCAAATGGAACTAAAACACTGGTTATCTCCGGAAAAACCTCATTTCGATGGAAATTAATTGAGGAATAAAATGCCTGTGCACGAACTAACTTCTATTAAAAAATCACAACTCCTTGAAAAAAGAAGAGAGAGAGAGAAAGAGAGCATGAAAATTATAATTCCTTTCCTCTGGCCAAGAAAAGCTATGCCTCATCTTCTAACAAGCTGAGCCAAAGAGACTGGAACAGCATTCCTTCACGGTTCTCTTGCGCGCGTGTGTGTGTGTGTGTGTGTGTGTGTGTGTGTGTGTGTGTGTGTGTGAAATGGAGAGGATCTTGGGCCTCAGTCTTATCGTCTGTAAAATGGGGCTTGACTTACACTGGAGAGGAGGGGGTTCTAACTCTGATGCTGGGAGTTCCAAACTGTCAGGTGTAGGGTCCTTTGTGTCTTCCACTGACTATAGGTTGAAGGGTGTCTCCCAAGAAAGAAAAGAAAAACGTAGGGCATGGACTTCATTTGTAGAGCCGGGGGAGTTGCTGAGTGCTGCAGTCGGGTGTGGGAGACCTCCGGGTGCTGCCAGCTGGTAGCTCTTGTGGCCTGGGTTAAAGCCGTATATATAAGCTTCTCTCCAAGCCCAGCCATCCAGCATCATCAAAGGAAAGACCAGGATGGCTTCACTGTGCTCTGGACCACCATGTAGCATGTCGGGCCATATTTTGTACAATTGTTCATACAAGCCAGTGATGTAGGTCATATTGCCATTTTTCAGATGAGAAACCTGAGGCCCAGGAAGGGGGAACTGACATGCTTGGGCTCCCCTGAGCTCTGATCTGCCCAAGTCTGTGCCCCGCGCTCTCCTGGGTGGCTCTTTCTTGCTGGGCCTGGGCTGTGAGGACTTCTCTTTGTGCTGGATTTTTTTCTCTCCCAATTCCCAGCTGTTTCCTCAAGCAGTCATTGGCCACAGACCTGGTACAATCTACCACATGAGCCCAGGGGGCTTGGTGCATGCAGGGGCCATTTCTCCACTTCGGGGGCTGGAACTCCCCACTGGAAAACCCCAAACCGGGGGACCCACCACCAGCCCAGCTCAGCCTGAGCGGCCGGCCTCTGCCCGCACACCCTCAACAGAGGGGGAGAAGCTCCTGTGTCCTCCCACATCTTGGGACCCTGGCCTCTACCCAGCGACACAGCAGCCACGGATTGTTTGATATCTGGTGTCCACGGCTAAGCATAACCTTCCCGAGGTTTCCAATTTTTCAGCCTGTACGAAATATGTCTCTGTTCCAATAAAAGTTCCCATGGTATGGTGTTCTTGTACGCAGCCCAGCGTCCTCTGTCTGTGTAGGGTGCCCAGAAGCGGAGGGAGGGGTGCGGGGAGATGGGGACAGAGAGCAGCCAGGCAGCACCTGCCACGGGTCGTCACAAGGCTCATCTCCTTCCCTCTTCCAAACAGACCTGGAAGCATTTTGGTTTCAGATACACATGAGTAACGTCCACCTTTCCCTAAGCCCGTTACACGCATTGTCTTCATCTTCAGCACAACCCTGTATTAGGTGGCGGTATTAGGACCTCCTTTCTACCAAGAAGGAAACTGAGGCCCAGAAGAGCAGAGTCACCTGCCCAAGGCCACGGAGGGATGACAGGATCCAGGCAGACTGACTCCAGACCCCAGGAGGAAGTTCAGTGTAGGGCACAGAACTGGGAGTTCAAAGACCTGGAGTCTAATCTGGACCCTGCCGTTATAGCAGGGTGCCACGGAGCAAGGACCACACCCGGCTGGGGCTTGGTTTGTATATTTGTGGAATGAGGACAGTGACAGCTGCCTCCCTGGGCAGCTGTGGGAACTCATGGAATGGAGGTTCAAAAAAAAAAAAGCAAGAAAAAGTGATGCATGGAGACCACTCAGTGACTGTCAGTAAGCGTATCCTGGTTCCTAACCGGAGGCTGAGCTATGGAACGGATGCTCATGAAACAGCCTAAAGCAGCCGGCTTGGAACACGGGGGCCTTCGAGACCCTGCAGAGGCCTCTCAGTGTCGAGTGTGGAAGTTTCTTGCCGTAGAGGACAGGGATTGACAATACCCACAGGGGCAGCCAGGTGAGGGAAGTGGACAGGGTGAGGGCTCTGGCGATCCGAGGATCCCATTCTACCAGTGCCAGGTAGAAATCTCAGCTCGGGGTCTCCCAATTTCTCAGGAGAATCTGAATTTTTAGACAGAATTTCCTGATTTTTAAAATGTTCGTAACTCATTCCTTTTTTAAACACTGTGGCTCAAGACAAAATTGTAAAGACACACACAGAGGTAATATACATCATCCCAGGGGCCAGACAGGAGGAGGTGTCTCAATCCAACCCTCACCCCCACCCCCAGGCCTCCTGGGAAGCTGTTTCAGCCCCTCATTTACAGCTAAGTGGGTTATTAATTAGCTAAGGGGGAAAGATCAAACAAAACAGGTTACCACCATCCCACGTTTGAAAAGCTCCCTGGAGAAACCTCCCTGGGGGTAAATCCAGTGCCATTGCCCACCCCTCCCTCCCCTTCCCCCTACACACTGATTTCTTTCTTCCCAAAGTGGCTTGATTAAGGCAACAATCAGTGTCCTCTTTTGAGGCTTCATGAATAAACAGTATTATTATTGTTGTTGTTGCTGTTGCTGTTGCCGCCTTTTATGAGTCAATTCTCATGTGTCAAGCCCTTTGCATACATTAACTCATTTTCTTCGTAACAACCCCATTTAGCCCCATTTGACAGAGCAGAAAGTTGAGGCTCATAGAAGTCCACGTAGCTAGTGGATATTTGAACCTAAGTCCGTGGGCTCAGGGCCACTTCTGCGGCAGCTCTCCACCTCCGACGGTTTGAGCCCCTCAGCTCAGAGCTGGCCCTGCCACCATAAGGGCCTCTGATGACTTTTTCTGGGAAAGCATATTTGCCAGGAGGTGGTCCCTGTGACGCCAGCCAGCCAGCCACCCCTCGGTGACTGATGGAGGAGGTCTTGGCCCTGCTATGTGTGTTCTGGATCCCAGTTACAGGGATCCTGGTGTTTGTACTTCCCAAGATTGGCTTGAACAGGCCCCCCACTCCCTCCCAGTCTCCGGGGAGATGGACGCTCTTCCAGAGACGCCTCTTTCCGGCCAGGTTGGCAGGGACGAGGCAGAAGCAGCGTGCACCTCAGCTTCCGCAGCCCCAGGGGCACACTCGGCACTTCACTAGGCCAAGGCAGTCAGACCAGAGAAGGTGGGGGGAACATCAGAAAATAAAACGACCCAAGAGGCAGGGTCCCCTAGCTTGCTTCATGACCTAAGTCAGTCAAGCCCCCTCTGGGCGCTAGTTACTCCACCTGTTGAAAGAGGTGGGCTTAGACCAGCGGATCCCAACCCTGGCTCTACATTAGAATCACCTGGGACCTTCCTGGAGCCACCCACACTGGAGTCCCACCCACCCCACATAAGAATTGCTGAGGGTGGACGCCAGACCACAGTACTTGTAAAGGCTCCTTAGGGCCCTCTGATAGGAAGCCAGGATTGAGAACCACTGAGTTAGATGGCACCGAGTATGTCTCCTGACGCCCAGATCTGGTACCCCACGGGGTGGTACAAGCCACCTCGTGGTCCTCATAACACAGCAGCAGCACCGCCCCAGCTTGTGTAGGACCCAGGACTCCTAATCAGGTAGGTACTATTCTTACGCCCGCATTGCAGATGCAGAAACGGAGGCCTGGACTGGCAGCCTGAGGTCACACAGCTAGTAAGTGGCACAGCTGGAGGCTAGACACTAGAATGAGAGGGAGTCCAAAGGGACACCTGAAACCGCCTTGGGGATTCAAGGGAGGCGTCAGAGAAACTGACATGTAGGTTCATGCCTGGGGGAATGAGATCCACCCCCCCCACCCCCAGACTAGGGGGCTCAGAAAGGGGAGGAGGGAGGAGGGAGGGGCAGGGATCCCAGGCAGGGGCGAGTGCACACCTACAGGACCCGAGGAATGACTTCCACCTGCCTGTCCTCCGCCTACCCTGCACATTCATTCCAGAGCGCTTAGTCCTCTCCCATGGTGAGTGTGTTTACTTGTTTGCAGCCATCTCCATGAGGAAGGAGCCTCATCTGCCTGGCTCATCCCCTTCCCCTTTTGCCCAGCAGGGAGTGCCACCCCTGGCCCTGGCTGGCTGTCAAATAATTGAATCTGCTTAGGGTTGCCAGCTCTGCACCCTTCCATTTCCCATACGTTTTTGAGCCGGTTAGTTTTTACTTTATGTCGGGGTGGGGAATGTGGCTAGGAGGACTGTGACAAAGCAGTGACAGGTCCCGCACAGGATCTCTTGTGCCCACACTGTTCCCAGCAGGGGCTGTGTCCCTCCCTGGGAGTGAGGCCGACAGATATGAGTGCCAGCTATTCATCAGCAGCATGTGAGGCTCTGGATATTTCCTGGGACTGAAAAAATGATGTGTTTTTTTAAAGGCCGAGGCTAAGAGGGAGGACTTAGGAGTCAGAAAAACCTGGGATTGAGCCTGACTTTGCTGTGTGTCTC